TTATTTATTTATTTATTTATTTATTTATTTATTCATTCATTCATTCATTCATTCATTCATTCATTCATTCATTCATTCATTCATTCATTCATTCATTCATTCATTCACTTACTTACTTACTTACTTACTTACTTACTTACTTACTTACTTACTTACTTACTTACTTACTTACTGTATTTATACCCTGCCTATCTGGTCAAAATTGGAAAATATTATCCTGGTGGACTTGAAAACTTGTATACTTCTCTCCTCCTGACTCCTCCAGTGGAATTACAGCCAAGGTCACAAAATTTTGTGCAGCAGTGTGTGCAATAAGGAAACAGATGATTAGATTATCGCATTGACTAGGTTAGGAATTAACACTCCATTAAAATCCGAATTTCAGTTTAATTTGATTCGGTTGTAAATACGACATGTTCTGTTGCTATGTTTTCTTCTTGTGTCTCTAACCGATGGGCATAACAATAACGTTAATTTAGGGTCAGTTCCTTCTGCCCCCGTGTAAACTCCATAGCCTGAATCCTGAGGTCGGAAGCGAAGTAACGAGTGCACCACTATTTCAGCAGTTATACCAGAAGCAAAAGGATCGTGTCATTCCCAACTAGAAAGAAAATAACTCACAAACAAGAGGATCGTGACGATTCCAGAACACATGCTTTCAGAGAAGCAGTCACGGTGAAGCTGTCATAAACAGACCGAAGTCTGCTGCTCTTAATGTCTCTGTTTTTCATCTCCCTTTCAACCTTACCAGAATCAAATGGAAACTTATTAATTCATTTCAGGGGTGGACAGATACAGGACTTGCCTGGCTATGATTCACATAAGCCTGAGTCAGGGCAGTGAGCAGAGAAGGAAACGTAGGGGATGACACCTTTGATGTCTTCATTTATAACCTCTGCATGCCATCCTATAAATATTTATTCAGCCGTGTGTACTGGGAGAAAGACAGAACACAGATAAAACTAATGGATATAACATCACAACAAACAACTCACCTGCAAGATGTAGTTCTTCCAGAGAAGAAATCCAAATTGTCGCAACACAGCCATCTTTCACTTGAGAGGGCACAACCTTCTACAGCTCTGTAGGAAGCAATGATTTCAGGTGTCAATTAAAATGTATCAAACAAGCACACAGCCAGGCGATTTAAGGAAGGTCCCAAGTTCACTCCTACTCTGTTTCCCCGAAAATAAGACCTAACCTGAAAATAAGCCCTAGTATGATTATTCAGGATGCTCGTAATAGAAGCCCTACCCCCAAAAATAAGCTCCAGTTAAGTGAAACCCAGGCCTGATTGTACAGCAATCAGAAGATGATATGACTGTATTTGAATAAATGTAGATGGTTGTCCATGAAAAAAACATCCCCTGAAAATAAGCCCTACTGCGTTTTTTGGAGCAAAAAAATTAATATAAGACCCTGTCTTATTTTCGGGGAAACGGGGTAATTGTGGGCAACTGCATGGTACATAAGTAACAACATGGAATTAGGTACATATGTACCAAAATGTGCATATATATTAAAAGGACACTCATCAACAACAATAATGCAAATGAGAAAGCTGTATTAGGATAATGAACAGGGGAAGGCCAGAGTGGTCTTATTCAGGTTTTGGCCCCAAACCCCACAAATGTGTTAGGATTGTGAGGACCACTAAGCAGGCTTATCTCTCTGCTGCTGAAGGGTCAGAGGGGATTATTTCCTTTTCCCCCTTCTATTGCTGTTCTCTGTTTCTGCAGCCTTTGAAGTGTGCTGCTCGTTGATTTGACTACATCGGGACTAGAACTTAGGAAAGGCAAGGAAGAGCCAGGAGGAAGCGCCCAGGAACGTACAGTGTGCAATGAGAGATGGACTACTTCCAAGATGAGAAAAATAGGTTTTATACATTCAAACTGGTCTCCACATTTCAGATGTTCTTTAACCTAGCATCGTTAATGTGGTTATAGAGGGAAGCATTTAGCTTTGTTCCCTCCATTGTAGGGTTTGGGGACCGTCAAGCTGTTGTAGGGAACTCAGCCCTGGTTTTCAGACTGACTGAAGAAGCGATTTGGATGAGTCGCTAAACATTTCAACCTAATAAGAAAGAAGTCCAGTTACCGTGACTCAACTTCCAGAGACTCTCACCTGGATGACTGAGAATTTTCACAGATATTTAGCCCAGAGCTACATTTCTTATCAGCATCAAAGCATACCACATATATTTTCCAACACTAGAAGGCCTTTATAGTAGTCTAAACATCAATGAGTACCATAACTACTATTTAAGCTAAATATCAATAGAGGAATCTCTCTCTCTCTGCATTGTACAAGCACACAACCACACAGAAAAATACTTGTGGATTCTGAATAGTTCATAATACAGTGGTGCCCCGCTTGATGATTACCTCGTTAGACGAGGAAATCGCTTAATGATGAAGTTTTTGCAATCGCTTTTGCGATCGCAAAACGAGGTTTTAATAGGGAAAAACCGCTTCACGATAATCGGTTCCCTGCTTCGAGAACTGATTTTTCGCTTCATGACAATCTTTATAGCTGATCGTCAGGCTTTCAAAATGGCCGCCCGCTGTGTAAAATGGCTCCCTGCTGTGTTTTAGGACGGATTCCTCACTTTACAGGCACTGGAAAATGGCCGCGCTATGGAGGATCTTCACCCATTGGAACGCATTGAACCAGTTTTCAATGCATTTCAATGGGATTTTTACTTTCGCTTGACGATGATTTCATTCTACAACGATTTTGCTGGAATGGATTATCCTCATCAAGCGAGGCACCACGGTACATGCCTTATTGTTTCAGACAGCTTGATCATCTATGTGACTCTTTGTCAGTCAGCCACAGCTTTGCACAACCAAACTTGAGGTCCTGAGGCAACTACAGATGGATACCAAACCACTTCTCCAAAACAGGGAGCAGCTATAAATCCATTTGCCACAAGAGACAAAAAAGCATTATCTTTACCTGTATTCCTGAAGGCATATTACCATAGATTGGAAAAGTTCCTTTTTTGGACTACAACTCCCAGAATTATACAGCCAGCAATGCTGAACCGGGGTAGCCTGGGAGGTAAGAGGGACAGCTTGTACATAAAGGGCCTTTTTGGCAGCTGCCCCCAGACTATGGAATGCCCTCCCAACTGAGATTTGTCTTGCGCCGACGCTGATGACATTTCGGCGCCAGGTCAAAACCTTCCTGTTCCAGAAGGCTTTTAATTGAAATAATACCAGCTGTGGGTCCGATGGCAATTTTTAGAGTTTATATTTTAATTGCATTTTAACTGTTTTGACTTTTTATTGTATTTTAAATGTTGTAAGCCGCCCAGAGACCTTTGGGTAGTGGGGGCGGCATATACCGTATTTTTCGCTCCATAAGACACACCTTTCCATAAGATGCACCAATTTTTTAGGAGAAGAAAACAGGAAAATATAATCTGTTTTCTTCGCTCCATAAGACGCATAAACTTTCCACCCCCCTGTTTTGTGGGGGAAAAGTGCGTCTTATGGTGCGAAAAATACGGTAAATAAAATAAAATAAACAAAAAGGAACTAATTTAACAATATGATCTCAAACCATGATGCCTGATAGTTTCTTATCAACTGTGTTTAAATGGATATTCCCCAACTACACTTTCCTACGAGGAAGTTGCTCTGAATACTCTGGGGCTTATTTCTGACTGAACATGCATGGGATTATAAATGTAATATCCATTTAACTGTAATATCCATTTATAAATGCAATATCCATTTAAACCATGGCACAGACAGACCGAGAAGATGGATACAAATAAATTCAACATGTACAGTAGGAGACATGGATAAAAACATAAGCTGTTTATTTCTTTGGGATGGGGTGGAGAGAGAGAACCACAACTCTGCATGGAAGGTCATCTGCTTTCCATGCAAAAGGTCCCATGTTCTACCCCAACATTTCGACGACGACAACCCTGTTTGTAATCTGGAAGAGCCCCCACTGGTCAGGACAGACAGCACTAAGCACAATGGATCTGATTCCATTATCAGACTCCAGAATACAGAGGTGCCTTGCATAGCGAGGTTAATCCGTTCTGGATTAACCTTCGCTATGGCGAAACATCGCTGAGCGGGACGGGAAAGCCCATTGGAACACATTAAACATTGTTTAATGCGTTCCAAATGGGCAAAAACTCACCGTTCAGCGATGCATCCCGGTCCGGCAGCCATTTTCGCGCCCTCAGTAAGCGAGGGCAGGGCACGCGGCCATTTTGGGGCTTCCGACGGCCATTTTGAAACCGCCGAACAGCTGATCCGGGGCCATCGGTAAGCGATCGCATTAGCGATCCAAAAAAACGATTTCGTTGTCATATGGTGCGCTCGTTAAGCGAGGCACTACTGTACTTTGCAGGCACAAAATCCAGATTCACTTCTGTTACTTCCGGAGTGTCACCCAAACCTGCTGCAGCCGTCCCTGTCTCCTGGCTGTTTTGCCCACCTGCCCATCCTGAAACAGATGCAGAAGGGCAGAAAAATGGACCAGAAACAAACTGATAAAGAGGGGAAGAGAAGCCATAGTTTAGTCATCTGCAGTACCATTTAGAGTCGAAGGAGCGCTGAAAGACACCAGACAGCAAATTTATGCCTCTGCAGAACGAGAGCTGACGGCAGACATAAATTGGGCCATCTTGTTCCTCTTCAGAAAAAACATTTGGTCATCATAGCTGGCTTTACCTTCAGAGTGTGAACAATAGCAATCACTGGCACTTACTCATTAAGGCACCCTGAAGGCTCGCACATTTCAAGGGCAAGGCATGACCTGTTCCCATCGTTCCTGAGCCAGGGCTAAAAACACAGAAGACATTAAATTAAAAAGAAGATTTAAAACCATTAGCATCTCAGAACGGTGCTTATTCTTCCATGCAGAGATGTTTCTGACTTGAAGATGCTCGGCAGTTTTTGATTTTGGTACATCAGGGTGGGGGAGTTGATGGACTACATCTCCTCTATCATCCTTGACCACTGGCCATTCCAGCTGGGACAGATGCCAGTTGTGAGTTGAAAAATGTCTAGTGGATTTTCACCCTGCATGTTTCTTGAATTCTTTCTTCTTCTGGCCATTTCTTTAAAAAAATAATGTCGGAACGGCCCGTAGCACAGTACGGCAGTAATTCGATGGAAGAAACACAGGCACAGGTGTGTGTATCATTCTTTCAAAATCAAACTAACATCAGAGTCACCAGCAATACAATCCTTGAGTTGTGCTCCCTTGCTGTCCATCTGATCAACAGTTCCCTACCCAGGCACACATAGCTGGCAGTGAGGGCAGAGTTCAACCCTGGATTCAGATGAGAGCTAGCTAATGCAAAACATCACTGCTACGTGCTGGCAAGATGCCTCTGTCTTATGGAGATTCTATGAACAAGTGAACTCCAAAATATGGTGTCTTCCATAGTCCTGCTCAGCTCTTAAAAACTAAAGGCCGTGGCTTCCTTTAGAGTCCGTCCATCTCATACTCAGTCTTCCTCTTTTCCTGCTGCCTTCCACTTTTCCTTCCATGATGGTCTCCTTCAGTGAGTCTTGTCTAGAGATGGGCACCATTCTCATTGTGGAGGTTTGTGCTGGTTTGCATGCATAGCACCACAGGTGCCACACGCTCCCTTCCCCCACCTGCCCGGCTGGATACCCAACAGCTGGTGTGTGCTCCTCTCCTCCTCCTCCTCCTCCTCCTCCTCCTCCTCCTCCTCTTTGGCTATTCAACCAATCTCCAGCAGTCCTCTCTCCTTGGTTGATCCCCCACTCAGACAAGGAGGCAGGACAGATAAACCCATGCTCCTGCCAGGGACTGGTCGAACCGCTGGAAGAGGAGAAGGAAGTGTGTGCTCCGACTGGTAAGTGGGTCATTGACCAGGGATTGGGGGGGAACAGAATCTGCAATACTTGCGGTGCCCAGTGTACGAACCAGCACGAACCTCCGAACCAAGCTTCGTGCCCATCTCTAGTCTTGTCTTCAGGGGATGTGCCCAAAGGAAGGCAGCCTCAGTTTCCGCATTTTTGCTTCCACAGAAAATCCAGACTTGATTTTTCATTGATGGCCCATTTGTTCATCTTTCTAGAGATCCAGGGCTTCCTCAAGGCCCTATTCCAGCACCATAGTTCAAATGAAACAACTTATTTCCCTCTCAGTCTCCTTCACTTTCTAGCTTTCACATCAGCAACATGGCCTAATCCAAGAGTGTGCATGATCCTGGCCTTGGTCTCCAGGGCCACTGCCTTGGTCAGAAAGTGTTTTCTGAGGGTTGGAGAGGGGTAATTTTTAGTTACAATGATTTAAAACTGATTCCCATACTAGCCCGCTTAGGATCATGATCCACTGAATTCAATGCTGTTTTTTATTCCCAGCCAGGAGATGAAGGCATCAGAGCACGTGAACCTTCGCCCTCACCGTCTTCTCTCTTGCTTCTTCCTTTCATGGAAGGTGGAAACTCTAACCCTGATCCTTGGGCTGCTGGCCGGCTTTGGTGTTGGTGTTGCTGTTTCTGGAGCAAGCGGCTCTCCCTGCCCCACAACCCCTTCCAATCCTGCTCACTTCTGGTTTCCTAACACCTGCTTTAGTTCAGGGTTGCCTAAAAAGATCCGTGCGGATGAGTACGTGTGTGTCTTTCTTTCTCGCTCCTTGATAGCCAAGGAGGAAGGAAAACTGGAAATCTTGAATTGTGCAGAGATGTGTAGTCAAAGTGGGCCCGCACACAACACGCACCCTCCTCTCTATTCCACGATGTCGCAGAATCTCAAACCCTGCCCCCCAACTCATTTCCTCAGAAGCAAGTCCCCGGGAGCTGGAGGAGGATTAGCGACATCCAAGGAAAGCGTGGCCTCAGAGCCTTGCCGAACAGTAGCCCAATCCGGTGCAGGATTGGGCTACTAGAAGCCAGAAGTCAGTCCTACTGTTTTTGATAAAACATAACCCACAAGGGTGGCAGAAATGTGCTGTGGGAGCCACAGGTTACTTGGCTATTATACAAAGCGGTTGTGACTCAAAAAAAAAGGGTCGGGAAACGTTGGTCTAGACCAGTGAGGCCGAACGTACGGCATGCATGCCAACAGCTGGCACGCAGAGCCCTCTCTGTGGGCACGCGAGCCGTAAGTTGCCATCGAGAAATATTTACCTGTCCTCCAGTCCCAGATTTCGGGAAGAACTCTTGGGAAGGGAGTCCAAGGCCACCCTGCCATGAAAACACACACACACACACACACACACACAGAGAGAGAGAGAGAGAGAGAGAGAGAGAGAGAGAGAGAGAGAGAGAGAGAAACACCTCAGCCGAGTGGTCTCGTTCAAGGCCCCTCAAAAGCGCCTCACAAGGAGAAAAGAACGTCTTCCACCAATTTCCCAGAGACTGACTCTCTCTCATGAAACAACAAATATCTTCGCCTTGCAAGGGGACCGTTTCAACGTCCTTATTGCTCAATTGAACTTGTGGTGCAGTGGTTTGCAGGTATATAAAAAAAATTGTCTCTGGTATTTACCTGAACAAAAAATTACGTTAGTCACATTACCCTCCTGCAAGAACTTGGGTAAAAAGAAAAAGAGATTTTTCCCCCCTTGACATAAGAGTCTGATTTCAACACACTGGTGGGGACATTCTGATGTTTTTCTCAGAAAACATTCCAAACCCTCCTGTGTAAATCAACACTTAAGAATCTAGAACTTCAAAGAGAAAACATACAGAGCAGCCCTTCACTGGATCAGAAAGTGGCCCAGTTGCCCAAGCAGAGGTCCCGATCCCCAAAAACATCAGAGGAGACCCACTTCACTGAACTCTCATGTTCCAAACCCAAGGGCCTACAGCTTCAATTCTCATGACTTCATTTGTCCCTGGAACGGATCTAGACATTCCCGGAGTTTGCCAACGAGAACAGATTGTTTTAAACAATGAATGCTCTCCAAGGGTTACTTTAAAAGTAAAGTAAATAACATGTTTTGGAAATGAATATTAAGAAATGATAAATAAAAAAACAAGCGGCCCCAGTATGGAAGTTAAATATCCAGAATGAACATAGAGGGCTCGTCAACAAAAAGTACTTTGGCATTTTATGTGAATTAAGAGTCATATCATAGCCATGCACCCAAAACATAAGAGTAGCTTTGCAAATGCTTATGAAAATGCATGTGCAATGCATTTTTGGATCCAAGTTATAGAAGGGGGCTTAACACAGGCTGCTATAAAAAAAAGACAAGTATTTGAAATGTGAATTCATTTCGAGACGTGAAGAGTTTATTGGATCAAGAGGGTGACCCACAAAAAGATACCAAAGCAAAATTAAAATAATTAAATGAAAAAAAATATATTCTAGAATGTTTTAATTTGGCAACAAGAAATGAAAACATTCAGATTGTTACAGCCGATCATGCAAGTTAAAATTTGGTGGGAAAATAAGTATAGGAAAGAGTATAACTGATTGACTGAGAAAGATGGAAGACCCTTCAGACACAAGTCAACATCAACATCATTAGTGCTTCCGCACCTACATAAAGGATAGCCCCAACAATATCCAAGAGTAGGCAAGAGACGAGGGCTGAAATCCTGTTGTTTAGGATAGTAGGTTGCAACTAGAATAGGCCCATAAGTTTCCCCATAAGTTCAGCCGATTCAACGGGCCTCCTAATTATGCTAAGCAACAGGGTTTCATTGAAGAACCTTACATTTTAATGTCCATTTTGAAGGAATGAGATGTGGGCGATAGTCATCATTGCCATCGTCGTTGACGTCATCATCATCTCAGAGACGGACTCTTATGGATCAGGAGATCCCGGAGGGAATCAAGTTCTCAAATTTTGGCTCTGAAGCCAGAGACGTAAACCACTGAGCTAACAGCACTTATGCTGGTTGTCCAGTTAGTCTGAACACCACGTTGGCAAGGGAACGCTCCTCGACTCCTGTTTAAAAGCCTCCAGTGAATAAAATAGCACAAAATGAGGCAAGCAGCCAAATGCTTTCTAAAACAAAGCAACCCCAGCTTCGCACTGCTAACATCAAAGTACTGAACACATCACAGAAGACGATTCCTCTTTATTAATTCAAATGGTACCGCAAACTGACAAGATGCTTAATGGCAATTTTTCCTCATCAAAAAAAACCCCAACAAACCCACCACATGAAAGCCAACAAACCCACCACAAAACCACCCTAACCCTGCCTTTAGCCTCAAACTACCGGAGGCATCTGCTCTTCGAGCATCGAAGGAAACCAACCAATCGATGAAAAAGGGCAGGAAAGCTGCCTCTCAGACAGGGCTGGCGAGAGGAGGAGGAGGAGGCGACCCGCCCCAGGTCTTTGCCACCCAAAGGGGTACAACAGGTGGGTACTTCAGGCGGCAGAGAGAAGAGGGACAGGCAAGGGATACTATTACGCCTTCACAAAAACCGCAAGGGCCTGGCAAAGACGGAGAAAAGAATGGCCCTAGTAAGCAGTACTGCTATGCATCGCTCCGTGCTACAAACCTGTCTCAATTTGATATCATTTAAACAGAGGCGGGCAAAGCGTGACACTCTAATGATCTGTGCTGTTTCACAATTACATAAAAGATCAAAACACACTTCTTATTCTATCTACGCATTTCCATGACTTGGAAAAGTTACGCTTTTTAGACTACCGCTCCCAGCAACTTCCCACAGAAACAGAAGTTACCGCAGACTGACCCCTGCAAGGAGCAGTTGAAAGAGAAAGCATGGAGTAAGTTAATACACATGGACCAGCTCTCCAGATGTTGTAGAATCACAGTCCTTAGCATTCCCAACCACTGACGATTCTGACTGGGGCTCATGGTGGATAGCACAGTCCAACATCATCAGTGGGTCTCCCTCTGGGGTCCGCAGATGTTCTTGGACTGCAAATCCCAGAAACCTTCACTGCTTGCTGTGCTGGCCAGAACATCTGGGAGTTGCAGTCCAAGAACATCTGGGGACGCCAGTGTCAGAGCCGCTGGTCTAGAACACCACAGCTTTTCCATGCCTGCCACAAACCTTAAAGGATGATGTTGCACCAATTCCCAAAATGCACAGTATGGATTGGAAGGTCCAGGACGTTCCTGCTTGATAGGTGAGTCAGTGGAGCAGGTATGACGGAGAAGGGTTAAAAATGCTGGTCTCAGCAACAGAAGGCTCGTGGTCTGTGATCTTCTCCTCTCCACCGACACCAGTAGGCAGAGGGCATCAAGAAACCACATCGGCAACACCCTCCTCCAGGCCTCCTGCCCCCAATAAGTCTCAAGGAGTAGGCAAACACTGGGTTTTCCTACTCTCTTGCCAACCTATCTCCGTAGCTGAAGCTGGAAGCATTATATCAGAAGTGAGAGAAATGTTGCATCATGCAGAGTCCTCACTTAGAATCCCAGATCCCTCTCTCTCCTCCCTTCCAGAACCAGCAGGCTGCCCAGGAATTGGGGGGGGGGAAGCCACTTCTACCTGGAAGGTGAACTGAAGGCTTTCTTGAGAGTCATCATTAACTTTCCTTGTTATGCACCACCAAATTGTTTCGCACTTATGGCAACCCTAACAAGTTTTTCAAGGGATGTGAAATATTTAAGCAGTGGCTTTAATAGTGTCACGACGCCCCTACCTCACCCCATGGTGTTTCCATGTCGGAGTGGGGATTTGAACTCAGGTCTCCCGAATGCTAGTCCAACATTCTCTCCACTGTGTCACACTGGCTCCCACACAGGTTGCCCACTCTTCTTTTCAGCAAAAGTCCTATGGCTCAAACCGCCCAGTTGTTCCCCAACCGCCGCCACCACTGCCAGTACTGCAGGGAGAGACCCCACTGCAAATGAGACACGCATAGATTGCAGAGGCCTGGCTGCTGGCAGAATGCATTTCAAAGCAAAAACAAAGCAAAGCACTTACCCTGGGTGGTTTACAACTTAATGATGCAGGCTACACATTGCCCTCCCCCCACAACCAGCAAGCTGGGTACTTAATTTACCGACCTCGGAAGGATGGAAGGTTGAGTGAACCTTGAGCCGGCGACCTGAGCCCACTGGAATCAAACGCAGATGGTGAGCGGAGCTTTGACTGCAGTACTGCAATCTAACCACTGTGCCACAAGGCTCACCTTTTTGTGCTGTCTGTCCCCTCGCCAGTTGAGCTCTCTCAGCACTGCTGAGATGCAGATGCAGCAGCCAGAGGTCCAAAGGCTGCTATAAGCATGTAGGTTGCCGTATTATTTGAGAACCAACTCACACACAAACAAAAAACAACCCAGATGGTTTCTTGGCCAGGTGCACGCCTAGCTCTTGACGCATACAAGTCCAGCACTTGTCTTATTGCACAAGCCATGAGCAAGTTCCAAAAGAACATGGGGAGGGGGGAAGGCCAGTGGTGTCCTTTGAAAGCTGCCACCTTTCCCTTTTTTTAAAATTTAATTTAATTTTTTTTATTTTTTGGATGGGTCATTCCAGGAAGATCTGGAGGCTAGGAAATCAGCCGCCTCCCCTTACTCTGAGGAAGGCATAACGGCTGGGTCATCTGGGGTTTAGCATCAAGCTGCACACCTACGACAGGTATTGGGAACTTCATCCGCAGGTGTTTTGGTGGGGATAAAGTAGCTTCTCTCACATTTGAAATATCGGTTCGTTTGTCTCATTTGATTTGCATCCTGCCCATCTAGCAACAGAGCACTAAATCTGGGCAGCTAACAACAACAAGAGTCACTCTTCCACAACTCAAACCCATGAATAATAATTATTTAAAAACCAATGGAAAGAACACCCAGGCAATGGCAAACAACGCTCCAATTAAAACATGTGGTTCACGAGGATATTACAGGATGAGGATGCTCCCCAAGGCCTCGCTGAGAAGCTCAGCCTTCACAGGTTCCTGGAGGTCAAAAGGGAAGGAGCCTGGCAGACATCGAAGGCAATATATTCTATAGCTTTGGGGCCACCACCGAGAAAGCCCAGTTCCTAGTGGAAGATTTCCAGGCCTCTCTGGGGGTGACCACCCACAACCACAAAGCCTAGGTAGATCGGATGGAGAGATGCTCTGACAGGGTGTAGTAGCAACGGGAGGGAAGTGGTAAGGGGGAGGCCAGGAAGTCTTCGAAGCGGCCACTATGAGGAAGCCAGCATGGCAGCTTCAAAAAAAAAAAGTCTTTATATTCTTTTAGAATTGCGTAACTCGGGAAGACACAACTTTACCTAGAGACCCTGCAGGAGATGATGGAGAAACAAGCAAGGAAGGTGCTGAAGGAACAGCCCCAAACGGGTGTCCTCCAGAAATGCTGGCCAACAACTCCCAAAGAGCATGGAAAATCACCAAAGCAAAGAAAAAAACAACCCACAACACGTGCTACTTATACACCACCCCACAGCACTTAAAGCACTCTCTGGGTGGTTTACAAGTTAGTTATGCAGGCTACACATCCCCCCTTCCCCCACAAGCTGGGTACTCATTTTACCGACCTCGGAAGGATAGAAGGCTGAGCGAACCTTGAGCCGGCTACCTGGGATTGAACCCTGGGTCATGAGCAGTTTAACCCCTGTGCCACCAGAACAATTGGAAAAGGGGTCAGCCAATGTAGTTGGAGGATGCCAGATTGAGAAAAGCTACCCTCACACTCCATCTTTGCATGACCACTTTCAGAGCTGGCTGGAGGATTATGGGGATTGGAGTCCCCCCTCCCCGCTAAAAAAAAAAAACCCCACCATTCCCAAGTTTGCACCTTAGAATTTGAAAGGTTTCGAGTTTTGCTCTGCTTTCAGTTTGCAGAGATTACTCTCCCAGTTCTTGGCTGTCTGCCATTTCCGCCGGAAAAAGAGCTTACAGACAAATGCAGACGAAAGATGACAATGATAATACAGGAGAGGATCGGAAACAGGAAGAAAGTAAAACGGGCAGTGATTTTATTTCATCCATCACTCCTAATCTTTTACAAAAAGTCCAAGAAAAGGTACCTCCCAGTCTTAAAGTAAGAAGAAGCAAAGGGATGTGTCAAGGCAAAGAGTTGTAACTGGAAAATAACAGAGACACCAAGGAAAATGAGTAAAATGAATAAGTGAAAAAAAATTTTTTGAATGTACTAAGATGACTGAGCGCATGACGAGGTAACTGGAGATCGCCAGGGTGTTCTCTTTAAGAGATCCTTGAAAACCAGAAATGAAGAAAAGTAAAACCTTCCTTTGTGACTGGAAATGGGACAAGATGCATCTAAGATCTCGAGAACACATAGAACATCGGAGTCATTCTTTTACAAAAACCATCTGCTTGGCAGATCGAAGCACTGTGGGGCTTATGACAAAATCATTACACACAGAGAAATCTCTTCCTCCAGTTCTGCCATAAACGTCATGTTTGATCTTGAGTAAGGAGCGTTCGATGGTTCAATACATGAAATGAGGAAAAGACGGGATACATCACACACATCCCCTCAGTTCTGTTTAAGCAGCGGAGTCTGTAGGAAAAACGTGTTGTCTTGGTTTGCATGCTAATTTGGTTGGTCAACTGTTCCCATCACGATAACGTCATTAAAACTGGCATGGCTTAAGCCAGTGATGGCGAACCTATGGCACGCGTGCCACAGCTGGCACACAGAGCCCCCTCTGTGGGCACATGAGCCATAAGTCGCCATAGAGAAATACTTACCCGTCCTCCGATCCCGGATTTTGGCACTTCCATCTGCTGGTGCGGTGGTCCAGCAGAAGGGTGCAATGGTGACCATTACCGGTCTAACCCAGTGGGGGATTGGAGGACCGGTAAGTATTTCTTTGTTAATACCACCCATAATACCACCAGCAAGCATTTAACCCTTGAAGTGTAGGATCAATTGTTGTTGTTGTTTTTAACTAAAACCTCAGCATTCCGGTTTTAATTACAGTGTTGGCACTTTGAAATAAATAAGTTGATTTTGTGTTGCCGTTTGGGCACTCGGGCTCAAAAAGGTTCACCATCACTGGCCTAGGCTAGCAAATGAGTTGCTTCTGTAATCACTGAGCATCCAAATAGTAAGCAATTTTTTAAAAAAAAATATAATAAAATAAAACATACAAGTATCTGTCAAAGAGTGCCCGGAAGAAGAAAATGGTGAATAGATCAAGGAAGGACGAAAAACATTGTTCTCCTGAACGCTCTGTTTCTCGGCGGCATGCCTCCACGCAAGAGTCGCGCCCTCACACAAGCTGAGCTTCCGAAAGAAACGACAGGAAGGATATAATCGGACCCACCTGACGTGCAACAGAGAAATCTTCTGACAGCAGAAGAAGGGATTAAAACAGCCGCTCCGTCACAGAGAAGTAGGTGAGGTGCTTTGAGGCTACCTGCTTGCTACCTCGCCGACAGCTGAACAAAGTGCTGCCACTTAATTCTGCCACTAGACGCGGAAGACGCTTCCGTTGCTGTTTGAGTTGTTCAACTTGAGCAACTTGAGCTGCTCGGGGCCCGTCTCCCTGGAAAAGGTGCATGCGTTCCTGCCTCCGCATTAAGACTTCAACAAGGAACGCGTCTCGAATTTCGGAAGAGATTCCATACTGAACAAAATACATGGAGTGAAGGCAACACATTGAGCCGCCGGAAGGTATTATGTGGAAATTACAAACGTTTCTGAAAGGTCAGACAGAGATCACAAACACAGTGTTTTTACAGCTGTCACTCAAGTCCAGACCTTTGCACAGGCAAGAGATCAGCCAAACAAGCAATAATTAAGTTTAACCTCTTGTTCTTTCGTCGCTGTTTCTCCTTCACCAGCAATTCATTTCTTACCCAGAGATTTAGCCTTCAAACTGGCTGGATCCTTGAAAAGAACTTGATGGGCTTCTAAGTCTCGAACAGGATATTTTGATAATGTATTGCATGTACTGTATTGTATATTCCACCTTTTCTCCAAGGGGAAGATGGCACACACAGTCCCCCCTTGCCCCCATATTGTCTTCACAACAAAACCGTTGAAGGCATTAAAGGTCCTAAGCCCTAGGTGGCACTACGGCAGAGCAAGGATTCAAATTTAGACACACTGTGTCCTAGCATGGACTTCTCTCCCCCATGACCTGGTGCCTTGACAAAAATATATATAAGGAAAAAGGATATGTACCATATTTTTCGGTGTATAAGACTATACTTTTGTCTAAAATCTTTAGACTAAAAATTGAGGGTCGTCTTATACATGGAATAAATAAATAAATAAATAAATAAATAAATACCCGTATTTTTCGCTCCATAAGACGCACCTTTCCATAAGACGCACCGATTTTTTAGGAGAAGAAAAC